TATTCACCAAGCCATTATCAGGTGAAACTTTCATGAGGCTAAGAGACATGCTTGGCATAAAGACATTTTGATTTGAAGGGGCGTGTTGGAATATCAAATTAAAATGCTAGAATAAATGAGTTTTAGAAGTGCAAGGGTCATAAGTTTAGAAGGTGAAGAGACATAGGTTATGGAAGAATAAGAGTAACTTACTCATTTATGACATTTATCTTTATGGCATTAAAATAGGAGTTTAATTTGTGACTATTGGTATGCCTAGACGTTTTTGTTTTTGAAGCCTATATAAAGGGCTATTGTAATCCTTGTTTGATATGAAGAGAGAAAATTAAAGAAATATAAGTGAGTTCTTCATTTGAAAGAGTTCTAAGTTCGTAAACTTAAGAGTCATCAAATATAATATTATCCTATTATTAACATAATATAATATTTTTAATAACATTAATATTATGTTGTTACTAGCATATTATTAATAAATTAATATATTATAAATATTTTAATATTATATAATATATTATAGTTTCTACATGTCAAGAGTTTATTAATAACTAGTTGGATTGCACGTGCAATGCACGTGGTTAAGTTTTCATTTTTTGTTTAAAAATTATAATTTTAATTATAATGTTTTATTATAAAATTATGGAATGTAAGTAATGGATAAAACATATATACATAATGTAAACATTCAACATCTTATAAGAATGTAAAAGAAGTTCAAGTTAAGAAGTCAAACAAACGTTATCTACCAACAATGCACTGTTTTGCTCTGTATTTGTGCATTTCCTTTCACTGTGATGTAAGGGTCCAAACATTATACATGCATTATCAGTCATGCTCTCAGTAAAAATGTTTCACTTGATGAGTCACTAAAGCTACTAAACTGAATGATTAATGTTACATTTGAGACGAGTAATACAATGGCAGAGGTTAGTTGCTGCTTTCTTCAAGAATGGGCTTTCTTCAATAGTACCTCGAAAGTTTGTTTTCTAGAAGATAGCCTGAATGCCCAAGCTTGCGGCCAAGCCAATTGATCTCTTGCTGCACATCCTGAGTTTTGAGTAAAGGAATCTATAAGTTTTTTTTCAATTAATCCTGGAGATTCAATTTCTCTGTCCCAGACTGAAATTTATATATAAATGTTAATAGGTCTTAAATAAAAGAGCACAACAAATGCAGGCATGTAATGATGAAGAATTCTATTTGTCCGCTCCCCCTCCTGTTATAACTGTTATATCAACTTTTGGATATTGGACTTTGTAAGTTATGTTCGCATCCCTCTTTTAAATTTTTAATAATTTAATATTTTTTCAATGAATAGGTCACCTTGCCTTGTTTTTCTATTTTAAAAAAATACGGGAAGAGGATTAAATTCATATTAAACCCTATATTTTTTATCTAATTTGTACTTGAAAATAGTTTAGCAAAATAAATAAATAATCAATAGACTATACAAGTAGCAGAAGGAGAAGATGACCTCGCCAGCACCAAGAAATCAAAAAGTGTGTTCCGGTAATTTTTCACCGACCAAGTTTATTGCTGGAACAAGCCCAGCCAGGACAATAGAAGCTGTTCCATGCAATGATTTCATTTATTAGATAAGTGTTATTTTGTTCAAAAATCAAATAGAAAATTATTAAGTTGAAAATGATAGAAGGAATTTATCACACAGCTAACATAAAGCCATATGCTTGCTTTACATGAATACCATCATTAAAGAGAAGATAACTTGTGCTATATTTTGCAAGCAATTCAAATGCATTATGGTTTGAAAAATCCTCAAACTGCATGCATAAAATTTTAGTTAAATAAACTTGTAGCAATAAAGGAAAAAACAAAATTAAATTTGGTAAAAGTACGGTAATGCGTGGTAATTTGGCCTACCTGAATAAGTACTTTATCCCCATAGTTCTGTTTGACAGCAGTCATGAATTCATGTAGTAATTCAGCATATTCCTACTCCAAAACGTACAAGGCAACAGTTTAGTAATACTAATTTATGCTTATTGTAAATTCCACATAGCATGCTAGTTAGTGCCTATAGAATCCCGTATCTGACAAGTAGCAAGCTTGTGCCGCAACCCAATATAGAACTCATCATTCAACAATTGCTTATTGTTCGTGCCCACATCATCTGCAAATAAATTTTAATGTCTGTTGTCTTATTTCTTATGGAAAAAAACATAAAGCTCTGGCAAAGGACTGTTTAGGCTATTAGAACTAAAAAAACATAACAGATTAGGTAATTAACATGCTTACAGCATTTGGTCGAATCCCTCCAAGGGCTGTGTACAAAGCAGCATCTCTATTTATAATGATCTTGAAGTCTTCAAGAGATGGAAAATCATTTAGTTTCCGCAGAAATTTTGCATATGGGTTTCCTTCAAATATATCCATCAATCTTTTAGTTGTAGTCGTACTCATGTTTGCATTATCTAATATTCCCATTCGATTTTGCAACTCATTCTCCGTATCGTAAAAGTAAAGTTGAAAGTAGGAAGACTTATTTTCTTCTGGAATAAGAGAGGGGAGATTATGATAAATTTGTCCTTGTGCTCTAAATGTGAAAATACCCTTTCTGTTTGATGCAAGTTCTCTATCAAACCTTGCCCCAAATGATGTAAATGAGAAAATGCTATTATACTTTCTGGTTTGTCTTCGAAACTCAATTGCCTCTTGGCTTTGTACCGTATAAAGTGCATATAACTCATCATTAACATTCACATCTGCTAGGTGGATTTCACCATTGTGACAACAGGATGTTGGTGGCTCATGTTCAAACTTTTTTGCTCCACAAAATGAACAAGACTTTGGAGTCCGTAGTTTATGTAATAAAGAACATACTGGTTCATGTGTAATTTGACCTAGAAAAAAATAATAGTTTTTAGTGTTAAATAAATTTAGATATATAAAATCATGTAAATATTTTAATAAATTATAAAATTAATCTATGCAAACCTCCATGCTCATATTCTCGCTGTTGCGCTCCACAAAACAAATCAATCTTACGTTTTCCCTTGCTATTGGTACTACTGCCAGCTAAATCATTTCTTTTCCTCTTTATATTATTATCAATGACCTTCTGAATGTAAGTTCTCTTCTGATCAACATTCAACTGATTATATTTGGTGTTTCTACTCTCATGTATTAGAATGTGTTCTTCTGTTAAAAATAATGAAATACACTATTAATAAAAATATTTAAGTGTAGAAGAAGATAAATACAAGGAAATAGAGTTATCATCACTATGAACAAAATAAAGATAAAGGAGAAGAAAGTTGCTTAACTAACCTGAATCAACGACAACTTTAGAAATGTTTAAAAAAAAAACAATGCAAATCCAACCAAGTAGGATATCTGCATTAATATGAAAAAATGTTAAATAATTTAATCTACACGTAATAGTGTATTACAAAACTTATATAATTACTCAGAGACAAAACATACATAATTATTCAGAGACAACATATATAATTAAAATAAATGTTAAATTATTTACGTGAGAATTGCACAAGTGGTTTTCAAAACATACATAATTACTCAAGGAATAGGTTTTCTCGAGTAATGGCTACAAAACATATTCATATCTTTAATCTATTGTTTATGCAATTGATATTAGATTGTTCAAAACATAATTAATATACCTAATACCTAATTTAGGGAAATAATCACAACCAAAATCACAAAAGAAAAAAAAAATTAACTAAACTCTATCATTTGTGATTCTCCGATTCCAGAACGAAATCAAAGACAACCTCTATCTTTCTCATACCAGATTCCAAACCAAATCAAAGACACGGCGATGTAATTAATTCATAAGGTTTATTGTCTCTCAATTGCAGGGCCCCTGTTTATGATGGACCTGCATCTAATTTGGTACCAGGAAACAATCTGGAATCAATGGTTCATCAGCTGATGGATATGGGTGGTGGTAACTGGGACAAGGATACGGTTCAGCGAGCACTTCGTGCTGCTTACAATAATCCAGAGCGTGCTGTGGAATACTTATATTCTGTATGCACTATATTTTGTGGGGGATGCAGTTAGAAACTATTCATAAACTAATATCTCATATATGCATATCCTTATGCAGGGAATCCCTACATTAGGAGAAGTTGCTCAGGCTGAAGGGCCAAACACAACTGGGACAGCTGCTGAAGGCGATACTCTATCTGTATTGCCAAATTCTGCACCTCTAGATATGTTTCCACAGGTCAGGTTTCTCCTAGCTTATAATCTTCAAACTACCTCACCCAGATGTATCTCATAACGGAATTCTCTCCAGGGAGCTCCCAGTGTGGGTGGAGGTGCTAGTGGTGGGTCTCTTGATTTCCTTAGAAATAATTAACAGGTACCCCATTCCATTGCTACAACTTGCTTCTCTGGGTCTTTTGATTTCCTAGAAATAATAAACGTGCTGTTGACGGTAAAAATTCATTGTCTAGAGTATTCATATGAACAGGTTTATATGTTAGCCTAACTCCTGTTCCCATTGACATGAACAGACAGACTCGTCTAATCTGTTTAACATCACCAAAAGTTGTGTATCTGCAGCAGATACACACAATACTGTGTTTATCTACTGCAGACAGATACACACAGTATTGTGTGTATATGTGTATCTGCAGCAGATACACACAATACTGTGTTTATCTACTGCAGACAGATACACACAATATTGTGTGTATCTATTGCAGATACACAGCAGATACACATGTTGTGTGTATCTGCTGTGTATCTGCAGCAGATACACACAATACTGTGTGTATATATGTTGCTGCTGCATATGCACAGATAGTCTCAATATTGTATTAAACTCAGTTTCATGAAAGCTAAATGATTTTTCTCAGTAATAATAAATATTGAATGGAGATCCTACAATATACAAAATTAACAACATTTACCAGCCTATATAAGACATGCAATAGACAACAGAGTCTTAAGTAGTAGCATTACAGAAACCTTTCGAAACTAACAAAATCAATAAAAAGTAATAGTTAAGGCTAGTGTGCAAGAACTGTCTACTGTACAAACATTGACAAGAAGGTAATTTTGGCTCATGATTTCTATATTGGGGAAACCTTTTTATTCTCTACCACTTTATTTACCTTTCAGAATTCACCTTATGTAGATTACTCAGGAAGAGCTGAGACTCTTTTTTGGATCAATATGTGGAGAGGTTTGTTGTTACCGATGGTTATTTTGTTGATGGTTATGCATTAGTTAATATGAAGAAGTTATGTTTCATGGAAGGATGTATACTAAAATGCTCTCTTTTGATAGGTCTATCGCATGAGAATGCTCGGGGACTATCAGCATAAAACTCGCATTGAATTCGTTGAGTTTGTAATGGTCAGCATTTCTTGCTCTATGATTTCAATGTTGTTAGTCACTTATTATGTTTCGTTGTCCATTTTTGTCCTCTATTTGGACTGGTCACCTCGCGGTATCAGCATTTACATGCATCTACACAAGCAATCAAACATATGACTTGAAAGAAGCCTGGGACCAAACACTTTTAAAATAAGGAGGTAAATTGACACTTTAGTTTGGAGAACTATAAATAAATATGTATGTCGACAGCTGTTAGCATATTTATCATCATAATTATAATTCAAATAGGCCAGTTAAGGCAATATGTGTTTATATTTATTCCGTCAAGTTGTTTGTATTGAGAATTAAACCATGTCTATCGATTTGCGGGGAGCATGCAAAGAAACAACAATCATATGTCACATGAGAAGCAACCATTTTCCTCTATAAATAAGAGCCTCTATAAATGTTTGTGTTGAATATCTTTCCCTTTATTTCCCCCTACCTTTCTTATCCTTAGGCTTTAGGGGTTTTCTCCTAAGTTTGATTGGTAAAGAATTTAACACTGACTCAACACTAAACTATAGGATTACAAATCATTTTATGGGAGACATCTTGGTATAAAGAATTTAACACTGACTCAACACTAAACTATAGGATTACAAATCATTTTATGGGAGACATCTTGGTTTAATCTTAATAACTAACGTTATGATATATTATTACTCTGCCACTTGGTTACTGCTTGACTTTATTTTCTCACCAGGGTTTGCTATTTTCAGTTCAATCCTTGTTGTTTCGTTCAGTTTTAACAATATTCTACATCACAACATCTTGTCTATTAGACATTTCATTCCTCCTTGTTGTTTCGTTCAGTTTTAACAATATTCTACATCACAACATCTTGTCTATTAGACATTTCATTCCTAAAATCTTGCAGCGCTGGATAAAACATTTTCAGTTGTGCAAGCAGGATTGCCTTTCAATTAATGCGTACAGCAAAAGTTATGTCAACAAGGTAATGCTTGTAGTTATTTCAAATCTTACTGATGAGTTGATAGTATCAATTAATAATTATGTAATACTATTAGTTATTTTATATCTAATTATTTTATATCTAATTATTTTATATGTTCAATTTAAATTTAAAAAAAAACAAATTTACCCACCTTCAGAGCTTGAATATGAAACACGATATCAAGAAATCAATTCCCAAACAAATATAAGATACAAAAAATGTTATAAATGGAAAACAGAAGTAATTTAGGAAATAAATCAAAATCAAAATCAAAATATGAAAATTTAAAGAACTAAAATCAACTGAACTTACTTTCTAATGTCGATCCAGCTGCTGTTGGATTATTTAAACCCCTCTCGCTTGAATCTGGAGGGAATCGGAAATTAGTGTAAATTTTAGAAGAAAATTAAAGGATTGAAGAAGTAGAGGTTAAATTTAGATGTAGGGTTTTGTATAAATGAGTTAAGATGAAGAAAAAAATACCTTACTGAATCCCCAATTGCAGAAATATTTGGAGATGAATGCGGAAATTCGGAATAAATACTAATCTGTGCATATTTCTCTAACGCTTCGGCTTCGACGGATAAGTGAATCGAACGAATAAACGACATCTTTGCAAATTCCGGTAACGGTTCGGCTTCGTAGGAGAAGGGTAATGGATGATCTCTTTGACTTCGGCGACAAGGAAGGCGTAACGGAGGAGAAAATTCCAAAAGCTGAAGGCGAGGCGACGATGAAGGAGTAACAGAGGAGAAAATTCCAGAAGCTGAAGGCAAATTTAAAGTGACGAAATTATATAAGGGAGAAATTGGGTATATTTATGATGGTTGAAGGTTAATTTTGGGATGGGAAAGTTTTTCAGGAACTGGCTCTTTTAAAGGGGTAATAGATTTGTCTGCTTGAAAAAACTATCTATTCAAGTAACTAATCTATGATCTTACACCAAAATTTCAAATTTATACAAGTTTACAATCCGACATCAGTTAATTTAGTCTTCTCTAATCAAGAAACTATCTAAACAAATCATGAGGAATTATATGCTTCATTCTCCACAATTCCTTGCTTTCTTCCTTTGTCCTTTTTCTTTGAAGTTCTTTGAGGAAGGGACTAAAAATGATCCCCCAACGCCCCCATCTAGGTAAACTTCAAAAGGTACAATTACATTAAATTGAATTTGAGCAGTCTCTTATGACCTTGTGAACATAAAGATATGAATTTATTGTTTCTAGGACTGTGTAGAAATCTCTCCATTTCTGAGGACCTCCCCAAATTTGCCTATGTCATCCTTAGACACAGTCAAGATTACTGAATAGAGAGCGTGATGAAAGCTAGCCCGCTATTTTTGAATGTCAAGTCAAAAAGGGGGAACAAATGATGTGAAATGCAATAATCTTACTTAAATGGTTTAATTGCACATAGCCCAACCCCCTGCGGTTTGATTTTTAGATGTTTATCCCATTGTCTCTATAGTTTGATTTTGGCGAATAGACTCTCCGAGTGAAATCTTTTTAACTCTTTTATTATTTATGGGTCTATTTGTTAAAAAGCAATCTTTTCTTTTTCACGGAGAGTAAAAGGGTGAAAATTTCGCTCAAGGGGCCTATCTGTCAAAATCAAACTATATGGATAATGAGTTTAAACGCGCCATACCACGGGGTTCTGTGTGCAATTTGTTGGAAATTTATCAAATAAATTAAGATTATAGCTTGAAATAAATCCGAAATCAAAATAAATAAGAGATTAGAAATTCAGGTCTGACGGGAGCAGTCGTGTATTCACTGCCCTAGAAGATTGAGAACCCGCCTATCGTCCTAGCGCAGATGGTTCCCTCCCCCCTAGCGGTAAAAGCCCCCGGAAACGGCCGGCCTCTGCACTCGAGCGAGAGTGCAGAGCTTCAGCTCAGATGAAGGAAGTTGCCCATAAAATAAAACTAAGATGTAGATGAAAATAATATGTAGGGGAGAGAAGAAAAACAAGAGAAACTTGTTGTATATTTTTTCTTATCGTTTTGAGCTTAACATACGGATATATATATATATAGGGTTGGAAAAGACGTTACAAAACCCGCAATTAATTCCGTAACATTCGTCATAAATTTTGTAACATTCCCCATAATTATATAGCCGTTACACATATTTTTAATTACTAATTAAAACATGTTTTAATTATAAAATTTTTATTACTATTCATGAAGGCAAAATTGTCTTTTCTTAAAAAAATATCTAACAGTCCCCCCCAAAAGGCAATATTGACTGAAGACTCAGAAATCAATAAATAAATCAAGAAATCATAAAACAAATATTGGTTAGGCAACCTTTCGTATCGTGAATTCGGGAGAGATAGCTTCCGGCTTTGAACCTTTTCTTAGTGAGTTCATCGCCACCTGAGGGACATAATGGACTAAGCCTTGAATTAGGCCCCTTTAATCAGGTATTGATGAAAACACACACAATACGCTTCATCTATTGAGCAAAGCGGGTTGAGCGTTAAAGGCCATGCTCACAATAAACCGACTCATGAGAGTTTCTAGGGGTTAGCCCAGCCCCCCCCTAACCGCGGCCATCACGGTTCCTCTCACGTAGGTAAGTCCTCAAAGGATACTACAGCTGTTTATTTAATACCCCCCACAATACACACGTTGGACTTATTAAGAGTAAAACTCAGCCTAGCCAGCTGTATCATAAGAGCATCGTCATTATAGAGAAGGGGTAGTAGCAAATGCTACATAATGATATATAAATATATCTAGGTCGATGCTCCACACGAGAGTCACTTGTCCAGCTTGTTTCTACCACATTGTGGGACCAAACACTTTTAAAATAAGGAGGTAAATTGACACTTTAGTTTGGAGAACTATAAATAAATATGTATGTCGACAGCTGTTAGCATATTTATCATCATAGTTATAATTCAAATAGGCCAGTTAAGGCAATATGTGTTTATATTTATTCAGTCAAGTTGTTTGTATTGAGAATTAAACCATGTCTATCGATTTGCGGGGAGCATGCAAAGAAACAACAATCATATGTCACATGAGAAGCAACCATTTTCCTCTATAAATAAGAGCCTCTATAAATGTTTGTGTTGAATATCTTTCCCTTTATTTTCCAACCCTACCTTTCTCATCCTTAGGCTTTAGGGGTTTTCTCCTAAGTTTGATTGATAAAGAATTTAACACTGACTCAACACTAAACTATAGGATTACAAATCATTTTATGGGAGACATCTTGGTTTAATCTTAATAACTAACGTTATGATATATTATTACTCTGCCACTTGGTTACTGCTTGACTTTATTTTCTCACCAGGGTTTGCTATTTTCAGTTCAATCCTTGTTGTTTCGTTCAGTTTTAACAATATTCTACATCACAACATCTTGTCTATTAGACATTTCATTCCTAAAATCTTGCAGCGCTGGATAAAACATTTTCAGTCGTGCAAGCAGGATTGCCTTTCAATTAATGCGTACAGCAAAAGTTATGTCAACCAGGTAATGCTTGTAGTTATTTCAAATCTTACTGATGAGTTGATAGTATCAATTAATAATTATGTAATACTATTAGTTATTTTATATCTAATTATTTTATATGTTCAATTTAAATTAAAAAAAACATATTTACCCACCTTCTGAGCTTGAATATGAAACACAATAACAAGAAATCAATTCCCAAACAAATATAAGATACAAAAAATGTTATAAATGGAAAACAGAAGTAATTTAGGAAATAAATCAAAATCAAAATCAAAATCTGAAAATTTAAAGAACTAAAATCAACTGAACTTACTTTCTAATGTCGATCCAGCTGCTGTTGGAATATTTAAACCCCTCTCGCTTGAATCTGGAGGGAATCGGAAATTAGTGTAAATTTTAGAAGAAAATTAAAGGACTGAAGAAGTAGAGGTTAAATTTAGATATAGGGTTTTGTATAAAGGAGTTAAGATGAAGAAAAAAATACCTTACTGAATCCCCAATTGCAGAAATATTTGGAGATGAATGCGGA